TCTTTTTAACCCCTTTTCTCCTTATCTAAGAAAGAATGGTAGAAAAAAGAAAAGAGAAAAATCCCTCAGTCTAACCTTGTTTCACTCTGAATAAGATCATTAATAATTTATAAACATCTCCCAATGACAATAAAAATCCGTAGCCATAAAAAACAACCAAAAACATACCCAACCCCCTTTAAGGAAAATTGTATGTCGTTCTCATGGATTTCTCCTAGCTGGCATTTTGGACATGCAGAAATCCTGTTAGAGGGCCCAAAGAAAATTGGGAAAAATTGGTTAATTAAGCAAGCAATAACATTTGTGGTCCAGTCTAAATGTTGAGAAATTTCAGGCTTAATAAATGTCCTGTTTGGAACAGTATAAAATGCTGGACCAATTACCATTAGTAGCTTTCTTCAAAGATCTCTTAGGAGCAGGCTTTGATAAGAAACAGTAATTGAAGCAGTTGATGCAGGAACAAGCAGAATGCTGGAACATGCAAGATGCTGGAACAGAAGTCACTGTCTCAGCATGCTGAAGAATGAATCCCGTCAGGTTTGATCTAGCATCTCCAGTGTCTAGTCCTTTTGTTCTGCAAACATATAATTTCTCACAAGCATTATAGAGTTCTAAAATTATAAATGTATGAGATGTGCAGGATGACACTAAACTGTAAGCCAATTTTATCTATGCTAATTAAAAGGATATTATAGTCAAAGATTTTTTGACCAAGAATTGTTGGAGTTCTGGCTGGAGACATTTTTTATGTCTCAGTCAGTTTCACAGTTGTTTATGTAAAGGGATTATCAACTTCTGTTACGTGTTCTGTTTGATCTTGATTTCTCTCTTCTTGTGAGTGGTCTTCAGGTGGCCTTCCTCTCTCATATCTGATTTTTATTACTTTTGAAGGAACCCATAATTTCTCTTCTCCTGCATGAACATAAGCAAAACCCCATACCCAGCATAACACATTTCCTACTCTCCATTGTGAATGCCTAATAAATTTTATGAGTTAATTCTGTATCTGCAACCAGACTCTCAGCTCCCTACAGTCAAGGAATGCAGCTTAGCTGTCTGAAATTGTCACATACTGTCGATCATGGATTTGATCAATTGTTTTAAGCTTCCTATAGTAGGTAGTAATTTCCTGTCCACTGCGCATTATCTACCCCCTGGAAAACTTCTTTTGTTATAACCCCTGACTGTCCGTACATGAAAAAGATGCAACATATCATGCTACCATGGCATGATGGCACCAGCCATCATTGTGAGTCTCTGGGCAATTAGAGTGCTGAGGTCCCACTTTCCTCAGTGTAGTACCTGTTCATAAGTTGTTTGTGTTCCAGGAAATAGTACCCTCATCCATAACTCATTCAACCAACCATAATTACCTCCAAGTGGGGAGGAGCTTCACAGAAAATGGTGGAGATGAGATTGAGAAAGTAAGGAATTAGATTTTCAAAGAATAAAAATAATGGCAAATAGGATGTTAACTTGACATTTCCACCATATAAAAAGCATAGTTTTGAAACACTTGTGGCCAGATGTGCCATACATCTGTCATCCCAGCACAGGAGATGTTATGTCAGGTGGACATTTAGCCTGGAAAAAGCAGAGTGGCCTTGTCTGAAAAACTAATTAAAAAATAAATAGACCATTGATCTATTAAAAACTAAGGGGTAGCAGGAGACTGAGATTTCTGCCACTATATCGCTTCTCTTAAGGGAAAGTAGGGTCATGGATGTTACTGATTAACAAACAAGTGTTAGTTAAGCATGAAATCCCACTTGTGGAGACTGGAAAGATGGTGCCAGGATCAGCTGCTTGGACGGTGCATTGAGTTTATAGATGATTAGTCATACCTACCTATCTACCTGTTTCACCTCTCCTCCCTTTGTCCTGGAACACATCAGGATAAACTTCTTTGGCGAAAGCAAACATTACTTGTTGATGCCTATTACATTTTACTTCCTCTTCTGGACCGAACAAGCCTCAAGAAGTGAAATCACCATGATTATACCTCAACACCTTTCCCACTCTGAGCACAATGCCCCACACAATTCCAACAGAGGAAGACTTGTCTGCCATTCTGAGCACCATCCATCACAAGTCAGCATCTTACCTGACACTCAACAATCTTCCCACCTGAACCTACAGCTTGGGAGGAGTCCTTGCTCTTCCTTCTGAGTGATCTCCAAAGTCAAAAGTAGGGAAAACCCCACACTAGTTCCCCATATGAATGATTTGAGGGGAATTTCTCTGTCCATTTGCAGAAGGTTCTCCAAGAGGGGCAAGGGATGGGGTCCTGGTAGAGGATGGCCACAGTTCTCTGAAAGACCCCTAAGCAGAAGTAGCAAGAAGCTCCCAAGGAGAGCAAGAAGAATCAGGACACTGGGAACTATGGTCCTGGTCTAACCACAATTGACTTTACTGCACACTCAAGAAGGACCATTTATGCTGAATTTGCCTCTCCACTCAGCTGTGCAACTTCACCTGTTTCCAACTCCACGTCCTGTCTTTCATTGTCCAGGAGTGTGAGCACAAAGACTTTCTGCTTGGGCTGCTGGTGACCTGCTCATCCCCTATTCCCCCACCTCCACCCTAAATGCTGGCAAGGACATGAAACAAGACCCTAGGTCGTTGCTCACATCTTTCTACACTTTGTGGCTTCTCCAAAGATCCAAGGTGAACAACACTTGAGAAGTCAATCAATTACATTTCTTGATATGTGAGCAGAGATTTCTGGAGGTCTCAACACCCAGTTACACCACTCCTGGGCATATAGAAGCTCCACATACAACAAGAACATTTGCTCAACTATGTTCATTGCAGCTTTATTCATCATAGCCAGAAGCTGGAAACAACCCAGATGTCCCTCAACTGATGAACAGGAAAAAATATGGTACAATTTACATAATGGAATACTACTCAGCTATTAAAAACAAGAAAATAATGAAATTTGAAAGGCAAGTGAAGGCAACTAGAAAGGATCACTCTGAGTGAGGTAACCCATACTGAGAAAGGCAGAAATAGTATGTACTCACTTATAAGCAGATATATATTATATTACAGATATATACTATAATATATATATACATATATTACAGATATATAATGTAGTACATTATAATACAGGATAACTATACTATAATTTGCTGACTCAAAGAAAATAAGCAACAACAAGGGCCCAAGGAAGGATACAAGATGGGCAGGAGTAAAGATAGAGCAGAGATTGAAAGAATGTCTAACTGTTGTTCCTTGTCTGGCAGTGGTCAGGGATGTGGTTGTCAGCTTCTAGACAAAGCAAAGAACAGATAAACCCTAAGATCAGATATTCTGTTTCTCTCAGGAATGGCTAGATGGCTTTAGGGCAAGACCTGTTTGATTGGCAAAACTTCTTGTCTCACTGGGGGAGGGGGAAATGAGTTTTCCACTGGGTGTTAGAGTTAGCTCATTTAAATGAGATTGTCAGTATCAGATGAACACAAAGTGTTGCAGTCCTTTTGCTAAGCCTCTGTATTAATGGCAGAGGAGTGGTTGAAAGCTTGTACCTGGTCAGAATGAAGCCAAAACACATCCCTGACAAGGCTCAGGCACAGCAGGCCAGAGGGCAGATCTAGAGAGACTCAAACCCAGTAGGCCAGAAGGCATGTACAGGCACAGTGGGTGCTGCACCAGAAGTCAACACCAAGCTCATGGAGGGTCAGTCAGGCTCCAGCCAGTCTGCCTGACAGCCAAGCCCTGGGAGTGCAGCAGGGAATCTCCATGGAGGAGAGGAGACCACCCTTCTCCAGGAGAAACGACATTTCTCAGTCAGCCATGGTGGCGAAATGGAATGAGAGTGAGATTTCTTTCATGAATCAAGGACTTATAAACCTTGGGCACTGGGAGGGGTTCTCAGGGTGAATGTGTTTTATTTGGTGGGGCTAGAGGTGCTAGGGTTACTTGATTTACATGTAGTGATATAATACCTCATTTACATGCAGTATCACCGTCCACTCACAAGAAGAAAAACACAGTACTTAATTATGCTATAAGTGAAGGAAATCTCCAGGTACAATCGAAGGTCCTTTGCTGAAAGCTAAGATCTCACTAACACAGGGTGGGGTATTTCCAGGAATCCCCAGGTGTTTGCTCAGCAGGTTTCTTATTAGGAAAGGGTCAGGCCTGTAATCTTCTCTGAGGGCTATGTGATGCTCCTTATGGGATCTGGGCTTCCCCAGATCAGGTGAAGAGAGAACCCTGCTGAGAAAGGGAGTCCTGCATTATAGACAGAGCTTAAAGGCTATCTGAAAACATCAGACTTTGACTATGTGATTCCAATACCAGAAGAGTCCTACATCCAACCAATGCCTGGCCAAACCTGCCCTCCCCATAGAAGAAAGCCAATCCTTAACACTATTAACAATACTCTGCTATGCTTTCAAATGGGAGCAATAGCATAGCTGTCCTTTCAGAGGCTCCATCCAGAAGGGGATGGAAACAGATGCTGAGATTCATAGTCAAACATTGGGTGGAACACAGGCAGTATTGTGGAAAAGTGTGGGGAAGAATAGAAGGACCTAGAGGAGACAGGAGCTCCACAAGACCAACAGAGCCAACCAATGTGGGCACAGGGGGCTCACAGAGACTGAGCCACCAACCAGGGACCATGCATGAACTCAAGCAACCTAGGCCCATACACACCCAATGGGTAGCTTGGCCCTCATGTGGGTGCCCTAGAAAGAGGAGAGGAAACTGTCTCTGACATAGACTCTGTTGCCTGCTTTTTGACCACTTCACCCTGGCGGGGATGCCTTGCCAGGCCACTAGGGAAGATGATTAGCTCAGTCCTAATGGTAGTTAAAGTAGTGGTGAGAGTGGGTGGGGAGTATCAAAATTGTCCAAAGAGTAGGGGAGGGCCAATAGGAAAAAGAGGAAGGGAGGATGGTAATGGGAGAAAAAGAGGGAGAGCCTAAAGTCAGAATACAAAGGGAATAAATTTTTAAAATGAAAAAAAAAAGACACAAGACACCAAAGATCACACACTATGTGATTCTATTTACATGAACCATACATATTAGGCAAGTCTGTAGACACAGAATTGGGACCATGTACAGAGTCCATTAGCACAGATCATAAAGCACAGCAAGTTGATAAATGGGGACTGCAGCTATTGGGAGAAACCAAGAAGTAACTCAGCATGTGACGTGGTCTCCAGAAATTTATGTTCACACAACAAGAAAGGCACTGGATTGATTTCTCAAGTGCTATTCACACAGAGAAGAACACATTGGAGCTTTGGAGAAGCCACAGGCGTTAGAAGGATATGAGCAATGCACTAGGGTCTGGTTTCCTGCAGGTCTCTCAGAGACAGAAAGATGGTGCCATTCTCTACTGAAGTTAGGACACCTGCCCACAGTCAGCGGGCCAAGAAGCAGATTTGGTATGTTGGGGGTATTCTGCCAATGCCACACTCCTTGGGAGTGAGGTCAATGTCCTTAGGAGCCATGGCGCTGGACACAGAGAAGTTCTGGAGGATGGTGGTGAAGAACAGGAACAATTCATTGCGGGCAATGCCTTCGCCAAGACAAATGCGCTTTCCTGTGGGCACAGGAGATGAACCATGTGAGTCTCAGGTCCATATACAACCTTTGGACTGTCCCATCCCTAAACCCATTTAGACACATTTGACCATTACAATGAATAAGAACGAGTTTCTCTAAGATGGAGTTGATACCCATCTCAGTGCTGTCCTGAGCATAAGGGTACTGTTTAGAAAGATTCCTATACAGGCAAGACATGGAACCACATGCCTGTAATCTCAATGAAAGACTGAGGTAGGAAGGTGAGGAATTCAGAACACCCTGGGCTACATAGCAAGATATATCTCTCTCTCTCTCTGTCTCTCTGTCTCTCTCTCTCTCCCTCCGTCCATTCCTCCTTTCCTGTTTCTCTTTCTCTCGCTCTTCCTCTCTCTCTCCTTCCTTCCCTCTCCCTCTCTTTCTCTCATTAACTCTCTCCATCTCCACTTCTCTCTACTCCCCCGCTCCACTCCCCTGCACTTTCTTATTCAGCTTGAGGCAAAATTCTCAAACACAACCACAGTGGCTCATAGAGCTGAAAATAGGGCAGGTGCACATAACAAGGGGTCCATGGCACCCACTGGCTTCTCAAAGGTCTGGGGAGAACTTGATGGTCTGTAACCTCAGGTATGAGCATCCTACAGCAATGGGAGCCTGAAAACACTGGCAGCAGCACCTGCTCCTGCCCCTTTTCTCAGTGTTTCTCAATCTGCAAGTGACTACCTGAGGTTTCCTGGTACAGGAGGAATTTCCCAGAAACCCTTGTGCTTTCCAGGTTGTTGGGAAATTGTGCCTGTGTAGGGGAGTCTAGGGAAAGCACCTTATTCTTTTGGGCCTTTCCTTTCCAAAACGTGGGGACATCAACTTTAAAATTTTGTAGATAGATTAGCTCTCTGAAATGGTTCTTTTAAAACTGGTTTTGTGACCCAGATTTTTCCAGAACAGTTTTATGACTTATGTCTCAACACAATGTCCCCTTACCTGAGGCTGCTGATTTGACACCTTCCATGGTTTTTTGGCATTACTATCTTTTTAGCTTCCTTGTCTCCTTGCTCACTTGCTTGTGTCCTTCGGTAGACTACCTGAACCTGTGTCTGTCTGTACCTATCATCACCATGTGTCTTCTTATCTATTCTTTTCTGTCTGCTTCTTCTACACTCCCCTAGCTAGCATCATCCTGAAACCTCCTCCTTCTCTGTCTAACCATATCTTGTCATGCATTTCCTCCATGTCTTTCTCTTAAGTCTTTTTTCTCCACATCACTCTCTTTATAAACTTGGAACTGTTATACAGACACTTTGCTTTTATTTTACTGTTCCACGTGTCTCCATCTCTAAAGATGACATATGAAAGGAGGCTATTACACTAGACAAATCCAGGAGCAGGGCTGAGCCCAGAGTCACTGAAATCACTTGGACATCCAAAGGCTTAACAATTCTTAGCTGAGACATTGCTCAGCAGGAGAGCATTTGCCTAAATACCGAAGTGAGAGGATAAGGAGGAGAGAGGCTCAGCAGGAGAGAACCTTCTAGAATATACCAGGGAGGGGCAGGGATGTGGGCTTTTCAATAGAAAACTTGCTTAATACACACAGCCCTGGATTCCATACCTAGGATAAGAGTGTGCAGGGAGTAAGGGATTGTTTCCACAACATCCCTTTCCCCAGAAGATAAGAAACCTGAGTACAGAGTTTCTATGTTGACATCCTACAGAGTCCATTAAACTGACTTACTCTGTCTGAAGGCAGCTTCTGTGTGTAACAAATGAACCACACACAGTAGACAACCGAACTATGCACTGACTTGACATTGTATTCCTCCAGTAAAGAACACATCTCAGTCACGCATAGCAGTTGACCAATCCCAGGGTGCCAACTAGTCCAGCATGGCCAAGTAAGGCAAGGGTGGAGCTGGCACCAGTCAAGCTGTGTGTGCATGGCCAGCTCCGTCATTTGTCTGTAGACACAGCCTGCAACACTGATGGGGGCTAAACTCTGGACTTTCTCTGATTCGGGGTATTAGCCATCATCAATGGTTTCTTTGCTCAAATTAGTGCTGGTAATTTTGATTTTTCTTGAAATTTAATAATTCAAATAGTATTTAATGCAAACAGGGACAGGAGTGTCAAGACATGTGCCATCTTCTCAGTGCCCAGAGATAAATGCCTTCCCAGCCACAAGACTCTTCCCAGCTCAAGGCTGTGTTCATAAATGATGTCAGTTGTTCTTACTGTTGTTTCTTTTTGTTAATATTTATTTTTTATTATGTATATAATGTTCTGTCTGCATGTACACCTAAATGCCAGAAGAGGCACCAGATTTCATTACATATGGTTGTAAGCCACGGTGTGGTTGCTGGGATTTGAACTCAAGACCTCTGGAAAAGCAAGCAGTGCTCTTACCCTCTGAGCCATCACTCCAGACCCCCTTACTGTTGTTTCTTAAGAAAATGAATTTGTGGGGCTAGAGAGATGGCTCAGCAGTTAAGGGCACTGACTGCTCTTCCAGGGGACTGAGGTTCAAATCTAGCACCCACATGGCAGCCCACAACTGTCTGCAACTCACAAAGACATACAGGCTGGGAAAACACCAATGTGCATAAAATAAAAGAAAATCAGTTTTCTACAAAGAAAATGAATTTGTTCAGATTTAGAGGCTTTTAAACACTTCTGCAAAGTCCTTCTGACCAGGATGATCCTTTAGTTCAAGAGTCGCCTCATGAGGCTCTGGCCAGGGTGAATGGGATGGTTCAGGCAAAGCACCTGGAACAGACTCAGGAAACATGGACCTATACTTGTTTGTGTCTTGGAGGCTGGGCCTGGCCTCTGGTGTCTGGGAATGCAATCACAGGTCTGTCTCACCTGTGGAGAAGGGCATAAAAGCTTCATTTTTCTTCAGTGCCCCATTGGCATCCAGGAAGTGGTCAGGATTGAAGGTATCTGGCTGTTCAAAGAACCGAGGGTCATGGAGAGCTGAACTCAGGATGGGGTACACTTCAGTGTTCTAGGAGGAGTTACAAGATACAAAGATGTTAACATATCCTGACTCCAAAGCAAAGCAGTCAGTCCCTAAGAAGCACAGAATGCTGGGAAACCACAAAGGGTTGGTGATTAGGACATTAGAATGTGCTAGTGGAGTAGAGATGAGGAATCACAGCTGGTCTCACCTTGGGGAGCAGGTACCCACGGAACTCTGTGTCTTTGATGACTCTGTGTGGCACTCCAATTGGGATGAGGTCTGCAAATCTCTGAATCTCATGGATGACTGCCTCAGTGTATGGCATTTTGATGCGGTCATCAAGGGTTGGAGGGCGGTGTGAGCCGATCACCTGATCGATCTCCTTTTGGACTTTCTCTGCACAGAAAAAGGAGACAGTGGACTTGCCCTACCAGCTTTGTAGCAATGATATTGTATTCCTGAGCCAGCAACCCATGAAATGAGTACAGCAAGGAGACTCTCCCAAGAGACTCAGTATACTCAAACAGGTGCAAACAACTGTCTCATTCTTAAGCACCTGTCTCTCTCTGCTCATGTTTAAAACTATATTAAAGCTCTCCTCCATGAGCGTCAACCTCGCCTCATCAGGATTTTTAAAAAGAAAGAGAAATATACTGTGAAGAGCTACTGCAGAGAGAGACTTCAGAGCAATCATGATGAGGTGAGAGGGGGAGGGAGAAAAGCAGGAAAAAATCTCACCTCTGGAAAGGAGATGCATACACACACACACACACACACACACACACACAACGACTTCACATATAATTTTAAATTAAGAACTTGAAGCTCTGTCTTCAAGAATATAACAGAGAAGTAAAATATTCCATCAACAGATGCCTGTAAAATGGATACATAAGAAAATCAATGGATAATTCAATTAATAAATGGACAAATTCATGAGTTAATGGAGCAAATATATTAAACACTATCTTATGATTCAACTTGAAAGTCAATAGGTGATTCAATTAGAGAATAATGGAAGAATGGATGGACAAAAGAAGAATTCAAAGGCTGCTTAGTGAAAGGAATGAAACCTGTTGACAGAAGGATAGGTGAGGGTGTGAATGCATCAGCGGCAAATTCTTTACTCAGCTCTGCTGATCAAAGGAAGAACTCTTTAAGTTGATTATTTGAAACTAATGGAATGCCTCCTTGGGTGACTAAAGAGTTAATGACTATGCTAATAGTTATTCAGTGGACTGCTATATGGTTGAGTGAGTAGATGCTGGAGGCAGGGGTGTGTATATGTGTGTGTGTGCACATGCGTGTGTGTTCAGTGGGTAGATAGAAGGATGTGTGAGTAAGTGGGTGTTTGGATAGAATTATGCGTAGGTGGGTGGGAAAATGACTGTGGGATAGGTGGATGGGAGATTGGTTGGTGGGCGGACAAACAGGTGGGTGAATGAGAAGACTAGGTAGATGGATAAAGAGGTGGATGGATAGAAAGATAAATGAATAGACAAATGTAATGATGAAAGGAAGGAAGGAAAGAAGGGAGGGAGGAAGGGAAGGAGGAAAGGAGAGCGGAAGGGAGGGAGGGAAGGAGGGAAGGACGGAGAAATGCTCAACCTTTAAGTGACAGGAGAGAAACAACAAAAATCAGGTCAGCTGAGTGTTCATTCACACACAACCCTCAGGGTGCCTTAATTTAGAAGTAAACCCAAACATTCAGAGTTCAATGTGTAAGAGGCCCATGTCTCTCTCATCCAAACAAACCTCTGCAGCCAAAAGGGATCTAGAAGATGCTCAAAATCTCCACCTGTGGCTCACCTGCTACATGGGGGAACTTGAGCATGAGCAGGAAGCCATAGCGGAGTGTGGTGCTGCTGGTCTCAGTGCCAGCAAAGAAGAGAGAGAGCACGGAGATCACAAGGTTCTGGTGGTGGAATTCCGTGTGTTGGTTGGACTTCTCCTGGTTCCAGATGGAGAGAAAAGGGAAGGTCATGGGTGATTGGGCCTTGCAGGGTGAAGCACATGCATTTCTAGTCACTGTCTTTCTGTCTGTGAGTCTCACACTATCTGGACTGCTTGGCATTTCTCTACCCTCAACAATATCCCTTGGCCTCTTCCATCTTCTCCTCTCTCTACTTTGCTCTTTGGGAGTTTATCATGTTTTTCCTCACAGGCTCTTTCTTCCCCTCCAGTCTTTCTGCTTTTTGCCATTTGCCCTGTGTTTCTTCCCTGGCCATATGCCTTCTTCCTTTCCCTGTTTTATTTTCTCCTCCCTTTCTCTTTATTTCATTATCCATGTGATTCTGCATCTCCCCTATTCCATTTTCTATCTCTCCTCACCATCCTCTGTTCCCTCCCTCCTTTCCTCTGATCACACATCCATCCTTCACTTGCCCCCATCCTCTCTTTCAACCATTCAGGACGGACTTACCTTCTCCATGCGTAGAAGGTAGGTATCGATGAAGTCTCGTGGAGCACTGGGGTCCAAAGTTGCCCTGTGCTTCTCCACATTATGGCCAATGTATTCAAGGATTTCCTGCAGGTTTTTAGAGATTTGTCTGTGGGTCCCAGGAAAGTACTTCAGGAATCCAGAGAAGAGCTCAAACACCTGTGAGAAAGAAGGGCCCAGGAGGTCACCTGGAGCTATCAAGTCTCAAGACGCAAGCTGGGTTCCTAAGTCCCAATATTTCATAAAAGACTGTTCTCCCTTTTTCTATGCTCTCTTCTTCCCTCCCTCTCTCCTCCCTCCCTCACTTGCTCATCTTCTCTTGTTTCTTCATTTTCACTCACATGCACAAATACACATAGCGTCTCTTAGACTGTCTATCTGCATATTTTTCCAGCACTAGTTAGAATACAAGATAAGTTATATACAAGATAAGTTATCTTGTATTCTCGATATCTCTTTTTCTCTCCTCTCTGTCCTAAACCATCACTTTGGTTTTGTTTTGTTTTGTTTTGTTTTGTTTTGTTTTGTTTTGTTTTTCTTTCAGTTATGGTCTCCTGGTTCTTGTTGGTTCATTCATTTATGTGTTTGTTTGTTTTGGGTTTGGTTTTGGTTTTTTGAGGCAGGGTTTCTATGTGTAACCCTGGGTGTCCTAGAACTCATTCTGTAGACCAGGCTGGTCTCAAACTCAGAGATCTGCCTGCTTATGCCTTCCAAGTGCTGGGATTAAAGGCATAGGCCATCACTTCCCAGTAGGCCTCCTATTTTTCAGACTATGATCAAACTCAGTGCTTATGCAAAGATGGCCAAGAACTCTGATCTCCCATGTACTAGGATTGAAAATGTGTAACACCAAACCTGACTTCCGTTGTGCTAGAGATGAACCCAGGGATTAATACAGGACAAGTCCTCTGCTCTCTTAGCCACAGACAGCCATAGCCCCATGTCATCATTCCCCTTATGTCTGGATGCATCTACATTCTTACATTCTTGTCTATCCGTCCTGTTAACCATCCCTCCCTCCCTCCTGGTCTCAGCCCCCTTGTCTCTCCATGTTGTCTCGGCCTTTCTTCTTGCCTTAAGACACCTCCTTCTTCACCCACAAAGCAGCCTCTTGTTTCCTCTGCCCTGGATTCTGCCCTCTTCCCACCCACTGACCTGGCTGGAGAATGAGCTTATGAGCGAAAAGGTGCAATAGAACAGTTCCAGCAGGCGCAGGAACTGGCGGTCTTTGTAGTCAAAGCGCTCTCCAAAGACAATGGAGCAGATGATGTTGGCTGTGATGCACTGGAAGAGGAAGGTGGTGTCCAGGGGGGCTCCTGGAGAATGAGAAGGCAGGACAGCAGGCATGGTGTCAAGAACTGGGGAACATTTGGCTTTAGCCCCATCTCTGTAAAGCCGTTGCCACCACTCACTACTCAAAGAAAAAACAGCAGCTGCTAACACTGTACCTATGGGCACCAGGTCCTGCACTCAGTGTTGTATTGCCATTTTCTTTAATTTTCTCATGGTTATTACACATAAGATGCAATGCTATTAGTGAAGGGACAGTAGCCCACACCAGCACATGACTCTGGTAGGCCTTGTCCTTCCCCACTCCCTCTCCTTGCTAAGAATTGTTAGAATACATTCCTCAAGCTTGCTCCCAAGGTTTATTCCCTCATTTGGCCACTTCCTCCTTCTGAAGCTGACTACCAAGGTCCAGCTATCAAATATTGAAGTCTAGCAATGGAAATTCCCCTTTAGCTCATCTAACTAACATGCCCCCTTAAAACTAAACACCTCATCCTAAAACAGAGTTCCCCTCTTTACCTTTACCATCCACCATTTGCTTATGGGGCACATCTGTCTTCTCCCTAACCAGAGGCCGTCCTCTGTGCCCCAAAGACAAATACCTCTTACCCATCTCCCCTGCCACTTTTATTCTTCTCCTTCTCCCTATTCCTCTATCTCCTGTCTTTGTTCCTCATCACTGCCCTCACTCCCTCTAGAGCAAATAAGTCTCCTTCGTACTGAGAATTTGGTCTTGCGGTGTCCTGGGCCAATCCTTTCCCTTTCGATTAGTATCTACAGAGAAGGTAGCTAATTTCACCATGACAACACAGCTCCTCACAACTGGGACCAGGATTCAGACCTGGAGAGCTTTCAGACAGCATGTGTGCTTAGTCTCCACGCTGCACCTCCTCCCAGGCCACCATTCTGACTGTGAGCTGATTGTTAAATCTGTCTGGCAGGAATGTACAGACAACGGTTCGGGGATTGCCTGTGCGGGTTTAGAAGTCTCTCCTCTCTGGGTCTTCTTCCAATCCTTCTCTAATTTTAGACTCAGAGGTGTTTCAAGAACCATCAACATCTGTCACCTGCTGCCTTTGAATTCTAGGTCCCATCATGGGCCCTCGTGAGATGTCTTCAGTCCAGCAATATTGGGCCAGCATTGCCCCCCTTTCTGGGGCTCACCTGTCTGTCGCCTGATTGAGTGCTCTGCAGATTGCAGGTCTGTCTTTATCTGTCTCTCTGGTTTTCTGTCTAACTGTCTTGCAGCATTTCCATCTCTTTCTCTTTGTCCCTTCCCCTACCTACTCCCCCATTACCTGCCCCTGCTCTCTGTCCCCATCACTTCTGCTCTCTCTCCTTTTTGGTCCCTCTTTCTATCTCAGCTTCCTGGTCACTTTGTCACCCTGTTTTCTCTTGTCTTTCTTCTTACTCTCTAGATTCCTTTTGCTCCCTTCCAGCCTCTGCAGGGACATCTCAGAGTCTCTTGAGAAATGACAAACACCAGTATGAAGGAATGAGGTGCTAACAAAGGACTATGTCACCAGTACTCTCCTGTTATGATGTTTCAAAAAAACCACCAAGAAGTGCCTATAACTGCCACAAAGTAAAACAGCCCCTAGACCTCTTTGCTCACTGGTCACCAAATCAGCACATCCACGGTGTGTGTGGCAGGGCAGCAGGATCCTGTTTCCATCACTTGACTGGTGTATATAACATGTTTCCATCACTTGACTGGTGTATATAACATGTTTTGAGACTGTTTCATGTAACCAAGATGGCCTCGAACACCCTATAAAGTCAAGGATGATCTCAAATCTCTATGTTCCTGCCTCCACATCAAGTACACTAAGATGGCCAGCATGACCACTGTGCCAACATAGTGGTGTTAGGGATCAGACTGAGCCATGTGCATTCTGGGCTATGCCCACAGTGTAAATACTTTTTTTTTGAGACCATATCTCATGATGGAGCCAAGCTGGCTTTGGTCTTATCTGTCTCTTGCCCTTGAGTGTTAGAATGACAGGCTTGTGCTACCATGATAGACTGATATACAGTCTTAACCCTGGCATCAGCTTCCCTGTGGTGAAGTAGCTGGCATGCTAATCTCTCGTTTGTGTCTGAGGGTTATTCTTGGACACCAGAAAGTTCACTTTTTTTTCCCTTTCTTTCTGTATTATTTTCTATCCACCATTGTGCGTGTTTGTGTGTGCGTGACTGTGTATATGTGAGTGTGTGTTTGTGTGTGTGTTTCTCTGCTCATGTATGACTCTTTGTCTTTCTTTGGCTGTGCACTCATATCCCTCCTTCACCATCATCCTTTAATCCCCTTCTCCAGGTTCTCCAGGACTCACCCTGGGATTTCCTCAGCTCTTCCACCAGACATTGGGCCTCCTCCTGAATCCGCTCCTCCACACTTCGCTTCCCCATCCCAAAGTCCCTCATGGTTGCTAGAGAGAATCGCCGGAGAGCCTTCCAGCGTTCCCCATTGGAAAAGATCACACCTAAGAAAGTAGGAGAAGCGAGAGCAGCTTACATTGGAAGTTCAAAGAAACCTGGGCCCTTCCCCACCTCTTAACCTCACTTTCTTCAGATTTGCTTCTCTCCGTGCCCATTCTCCATCCCATTTCATCCCAACCACTGAGATGCTTACCATACTCCTGAAAGACAGGCTCAACCACAGCAATTGTCCCCCGGCCAGAGAAAGCCTCAGCGTGGTCCACCAGGGCCTCCCTAATGGCCTCTGTCCCACACAAAATGACCACAGGCCTCGGTCCCAGGTGCACTGTGAACACATCTCCATATTTTTCTCGAAGCTGCCAAACATAAGGGTACCAGGGTGTGGTAAGCCACCAAAGACTGTGTTGTTAAACTGTGAAAACACTTAAATACAGATTGGTCAATAGGCTCCTCCTCCCCTGGTCACCCTTCCACTTCTACAGACCTACAAGGTGAAGGGTTAGTTCACCGCCCAGCAGGTCTGCACTGATTGGATGGACATAAAAAGCAGTACTAGGCTGCAGTACTTCTGTGAATGTGGAACCCATGCCCCAAGCTCAGCACTAAGCTAGTAAAGAAGGTGAATCAGGAATTCAACATCATCTCTGGCTGCTGTTGATCTGGAGACTAGACAGGGCTATATGAAACCTTGTCTCAAAAATAAACAAGATATAGATATGGTATAGGAAAACTGATAGTTAGAAATCAACCTAACAAAGAATTCACCAGCAAGCACGCTCAGGAAATACTAAGTTGCACAAGGTTTAGCTCAAGCAGTGCTGCCCCTAATAGGACTGGGAGAAGAGTAACAAGACTTGTTAGAAACTAGAAGGAAGTAATTGCACCTTAAACATAATTGAAGTTTAAGCTTACAGCAGTTTAGGCTTCCTGACAATATATTTCTGTTAAGATTTGTTTGTTAAGACTGTTGCCAGTTAGGTCCCATGTCTATATCAAAGAACATGGCTCTGATGGGCAGTTCAAAGGGGCTAGAACTGGGTAACAACCACCATTAAGTCTTGGTCCACCATTAAATTCTCTCATCAGGAAGAGTCTGATTCTGCCAGGAGAGCGGGATGCCCAAGGGCCTGGTGGCTTGAGGAAGAATGGCCTCCATGTGCTCATATATTTGAATGCTTGGTCACCAGGGGGAGGCACTATTGGAAAATATTAGAAGGATTGGAAGGTGTGGCCTTATGGAGAAAGTGTGTCATTAAGGGTTGGGCTTTGAGGTTTTAAAAGCCCATGACAAGCCCAGAGTTCCTCTCTCTGCCTACCAAGCAGGAAGTAGCTTTCAGCTAATGCTCCAGCCCCTGCCATGCCTGCTGCCATGCTCTGGCCTTGATGATAATGAAAGATAAGAATGATGACAGTCTCTGAGACTACACTCAAACCCTCACTAAATGCTTTCTTGTAAGAGCTTCCTTGACCGCGGTGTCACTCCACAGCATCTTGTAAGAGCTTCCTTAACCGCGGTGTCACTCCACAGCAACTGGGACACTGAATAACAAGTGCTGGAAGGGAACAGCACTGGTCTACTTTAAAAGTGATGGTGAAATCTCCCACTTACCCAAAGGGCCAGACTTGAAGTCCTGACTCTGTAAAATGGGTTTAATTTCTCAGAGTCTAATGCGGGATGGGCTAGAAGAGATGTGCAGACGACCGCACATGTGGATGGCTGGGGCACAAGGTCTGCAGAAGCTGGTAAAATGCTCTGCTCGAGGGCAGCTTCTCTAGGGCACTGATCAGAACCATCTGCACACCGGGTTTTCATTCTTTCTCGGGTATTTGGAGTAAATTCTCACTGGTGAGGAGAGGGGGCCTAACCTGCCACTTTAGATCTGGATACAGCGACATGTAGACACAGACGTGGCTATGATATGGGTGTGCATGTGTGGATATGGTTGTTAACACAGACACAGACGTGGCTATGATATGGGTGTGTGCATGTGTGGATATGGTTGTTAACACAGACACAGACGTGGCTATGATATGGGTGTGTGCATGTGTGGATATGGTTGTTAATACAGACATAGATGCAGGTCAGCGCCCTTCAGTCAGACCAGCTGTTCCTGGCTTCTCAACCTTCCTGCGACCCCAACAACATTCAGAGAGAATGGCCCTGACCCAGCCTTGGGTCACCAGGTAAGGGAAGTGGTAGTCACCTAGTCATGGCCCTGAAGGTGGTCATGACTGCAGTGCAGACAGTTGGGTAGCCACCTAGCAATGTAAACATCTCTGGGCAGCTACAGGAAATTGGTCCCAGGAACATCAAACTCCCCAGTGCTGAAAGCCCTTGAATAGACTGGAGCGTGTTTGCAAACAACCCATCCTCATCCTCCTGTAAGCTTTAGCAAAGTGTAGATTTTGATGCTGCTAATAGATTCAATGCTATGAAAATGGTCAGTGCCCGATGTTATTTATGAAATACTGATAAAAAAAATCTCTATTCATGCTTGATTTACATGTGTTTATGTTTCAAAGCAAGATCTTCCTATGTAGGCCAGACTGACATGGGACTCACTATGTAGCTTAAGGTGTCTCAGATCTGTCATTCTCCTGCCTCGGTCTCTGGTGTGCTGGAGTTGGAGGTGTGAGCCACACCTAACCCTGAATGCACTTCCTCTTAGTATTTTCATTCCACAGCTGACTGAATCTGCTTGTGGAGAATCTCTTTACGGAGAATACGCTACAATCTGTGAAGCTGAACACAAGCATACAGAGAGACTGCACCTCCAGATGCCTGTGCAAGAACACATGCTGTGTTCACCAAATGACTAAACCAGCTTAGTCCTAGAAGCCTTCTTACCACAACTTGACACCAGACTAACAGCAACAAGGCCACACCACAGGATGTTATACAACAACGTATTAACAACCCAGCTCTCAGGTCAGGGATAGAAATAATCACCAACTTAATGTTGGCATAAAGGCAAATTCTGCTTACATTTGTTGTTATCTCAATGAAGTCTGAGCACAGGGAAAGTCAACTCACTGTGTTAGAAGAGTGAGAAGGTAGTGACCAGAGGGCATAGGACAGGAACCAAACTTAATGGTAACTGATCTGCATGTCGAGGATAAGAATGTGTTTACTTTGCGAATTCATTGACCCGTGGTGGGTTTAGAGCAGCAATTCTTAGCCTGTGGGTCATGACACCTGTGGGGGTTGAATGACACTTCCACAGGAGTCCCCTAAGACCCCCGGGAAGCACAGACATTTACATTGCAACCTATAACTGAAGTTGAATTTTAGAGGAGCCTTTGCACTTGGCATTTTCTCCAGAGTGATGACAGTGAACCTTGAAGTAATTTCTTCAGTCAGTGACTGTTTTCTGAAATTCATGGGGTTGCTCTTTCTTGGGAATTTCAGAGCCTCAGCATGACCTCGGTCACAAGCTGTTCCTGGCAAACCTGGAATGCTTATATTTACTGCGTTGGCTTAGATAACGGTTCCCTAAGACAACTCGTAGTTCACAGTAGAGATGTTGGTATCCTGAATTGACTTGCTGAAAGGCCTTTGGTGTAACAATTAATAAAAGCCCTTCTTCAAGCTGCTAAGCAGTTAGTCCTCAGAGGCTTTTGCTAAGCCTGTTACATCTTACAGTGCCTTTCTCTTTCTGATCATCCTGAGCAGCTCAGAACACTGACACACAGCGGTAGCAAACTTCCACTTCTGAGGTAGCGACAAAAATCATCTCATGGTTGGGGGTGAGCACAACAGGAGGCACTGCATGAAAGTGTCCCAGTGTTGGGAAGGTTGAGAAATACTGTTTTAGAGTGACGAACAACTTCAACACTATCATAGCTCAAAATCTATAACTGGGGTGGCTGGCGAGACGGCTCAGAGGTTAAGATCGCATGCAGAGGACCTGGGTGTGGCTCCCAGCAGCCACATGGTGCCTCACAACCATTTTTAACTGCAGTTCCAGGGGATACAATGCCCTCTTTTGACCTCTGCAGCCACCAGGTGCACAAATGGTACACAGACATACCTGCAGACAAAAACACTCTTACACACAAAATAAAAAATGAACATAAAAGAAATCATTTTTAAGGTATAACTGAAGCTGGAGAGGCAGCCCAGGAGCCTGAAGCACCTGCTGCCACATCAAGATGGCTGGGGTTTGCATTCCAGTGCCCACTTATAGGCCTGGTGCCCCGTGCACACCTGAATCCAGTGTCCACTTATGACCCTGGTGCCTCGTGCACACCTGCATTCCAGTGCCCACTTATGACCCTGGTGCCCCGTGCACACCCATAACCTCAGCTCCAAAATGGAGGCAGAGACAGGAGGATTGTGTGGCTGCCAGTTTCTTGGTTCAGGGAGAGACCCTGCCTCAAAGGAATGGACAGAGTGAGAGAGGACACCCAACGCCCCATCTGGCCTCCATGCAATAGGTGCGAGCATCCACACACAAAGCCCACATACACGCAAAGTGACGGTAGGAGTAATAATACTATCAATAATGACTGATTACAGTTCTTCCCAAACTCTGGGCAGCCCTTGCAGAGCTTCCGCCAGACAGCATGGCGGTGCCTCTTACCATGGGCATGCCTCTTACCTGCCTGCCTTTCTGAGTCCTGACGCAGAAAAATCATGACTCTCCCGAAACTTTCTTTCTATCCCTTGCTCCTTCAGACACGGCCAAAGACTGAGCATGGTTTCCTTGACACTCCGAGCTTTCCCTCTCTTTTTCTCAAGCTCACCCACTAGTTTTTCACATGTGGGCTACTTCCAAATGGCATAGATTCCTCTATTTCTCCCACCCTTATTAACTAATTAATGCTTATTGATTAACTAAAACACATATTAATTAATTACTTAAACACTTTTTAGGTTCTTCTTTATTTTTTTATTTCTTACAATTTATTCACTTCATATCCCAGCTGTAGCCCCATCCTTTGTCACCTCCCAGTCCCCCCTTCCTCCCTCTTCTTCTCCCATGCCCCTTCCCCAGTCCACTGATAGGGAAGGTCCTCTCCCCTTCCCTCTGACCCCAGCCTTATCAGGTCTCATCAGGACTGGCTGCATTGTCTTCCTCTGTGAAGAGCAGACCACTGAGTTCATTTCAAAGACAGCCCCAGTTCCCCTTACTTCAGTCCAGGTACTGATACCTTCTGAACAGCTTTGGAAATGGTCTAGCCCCAAATTTCAGCCTGTCTCACATATTATTTTAGAATCAACACTTGAGAGGAGAATGTTAAAAAGCCTTAAAGACAGTTTAGCATAGAACCTTCCTTCCTCCCTCCTCTTTCCTCCCTCCTCCCTCTTGCCCTGAGTGGAGACATGATATTCTTCCCTGCAGCAAAGATTGTCTCCTCCTTTAAAAGTTAATTAAGTTGGACCTATCAGTCACCTAGCCAAGAGACAAGCCCTGGGAAGGCTGATTCCCCTAAACCATGATAAGGAGATGGGAGCAATAATCATTCCCTCACTGAGATAATATGTTTTTTTTCCTAGAGCCCTGCCCTTTCCTGTAGACCCTCCATGGCAGCTTTTCTAGCTGTCACTCAGCAAATCATTGCTCTTCTTTCTCTTTCTTTGTTATCCTTTCCTTCCGGCTCTCTACCAAAGCCTGGTGTGCTTTTCTTGACACTGCTTCCTCTCTTTTTCTCTGAAGCTATACCTCCCACACCCTCTTTCACATGTGGCAGCCCACAGATCCCTCTTCCTCATTTTTGTCTTTCTCCACTGGCAGCTGCCAAGACTCACAACATCCCTGCCTTGGTGTTCTCCTCTTAAATGCTGATAAAATTGTCCCTGAGCTTTAAAAAAAAAAAAAAAAGTAAAGACCTAGAAAGGCAAATATTTTCAGTTGAATATATTTCTCAAATGCTGGCAGTTATTGGAGGCCACAGCTTGTGTTTGTTTCTCTACTCCAAGCCAACAGGATTTCACCATAGATAAGACATCATTCTCAGTTACACATACTTGATAAAAAGCTCACATGATCACTTTCAACAACACAGCTGCCTGGGAGAGTAGAACTCAGTTTTTTTGAGCCCCAACTAAAGCTTCCAGGGAACATTCCAGGTTGTATGCCAGCAATGTAGGCCCATCAGCAAAATCAGGCAATTTGGAATTGAGCTGAACCTCAGGGAGCTAAGATTGGGCTGAGCCCCAAGAGCTGACACAGCCTCTAGCAGCTGTGATTGAGTCAGTCTCCAGGCTCATCCACAACATGCTTGAGACCCCTGAGCTGGTTTCTCCTGGGACTCCCAACAAGGCATCACTCCCACTTGGCAACCAGAGCCCTCTGTCTGGACAGCTGCACTTATCTTCTTGCCTGTTCCATGTACTTTGCCTTGAGCATGGTTTAAGTGTCCTCTGAGGGCTCCCATGCTGGAGGTTTGGTCCCCAAAGTGGTTATGTTGAGATGTGGTAGAGCCTTCAAGTGCTGGAGCCTAACAAGAGGCATTGGGTCTTTAGGGCTGATCCCCGGAAGACCTTAATAATGGCCTTTCAGCAAGGCTGGAATCTTGGGTGGAAACGAGGCCGCCCTGCATGTTAGCCTGTTCTGCATGTGACAGATTGTCTTTTTGCCCTCCGCCATGTTGTGACACATGCAGAGAGCCCTCACCAGAGACAGGACAAAAGGTGTGCTCCATCTTGGACTGTCGATGCTCATGATTATGAGGTAGATAAACCTCCTTACTTTTCTACTAATTTCAGTTTGTTTACTTTACATACCAAGGGTGGCCCCTCAAGCCTCCTCACTTTTAATTTTCATTTGTGTGTATGTTTGTGCTTGTGCCAGGACTCCCACAGGTCAGAGAAAGACACCAGATCCTCTGGAGCTGAAGCTACAGGCAGTTGTCAGCTGTCATATATGGACAAAGGGAACCAAACTGGGGCCTCTGGAAAAGCAGCAAATATTCTTAACCACTGAGCCTTTATTCCAGGCCCATAAACCTCCTTCCTTTATAAAAGATGAGGCCTCTTCTCTATCATTATAACAACAGCAAACAGACAAAGACACCAGGAGACTCTTATCTTCCTGGCTTAGGTAGACCATTCCCCTTCTTACCATTCTTGGTTTCACTCATGATCCCAAAATTCAACACCTGCTTCTCCTCCATAACATCATGTTCTCCTAAACCTGGGCCTACTCCTTCCTCACCTGCCCTCCATGGCTCCTCGGAAACAGCTTCTTTTCCCCATTAATCCTCACTCAAGGGAGTCTTTGGGAATCTGATGAGATTCATCAATGTGGATCCTCAGATACGTATTAATTAAAACTCAGTTTTTGGGGGGCTGTAAAGATGGTAGAGGTTTGAAAGCACTTGCTGTTCTCCAGAGGACATGGACTCAGTTCCCAGTGCCCACGTGGTGCTCACAACCATCTATAACTCACTTCAGGGGTTCCTGTGCTCTTCGGAGCACCAATCATGTACATGGGACACCCATGTTTTCGGGTAACATTAATCTATATAAAACAGGAATAGGCCTTAGAGGGAAATGGCATTTTGCCTTGCCTGTGTTCTGTGTCACCCAGGTGAACCTTAACTTATCAGAAAACTTCTGCGTTGTTTATTCTGCATCTCAAACCAGACTGTCAGCTCCTGGGTGTCAGGGATTCTGCCACTATTACTGCTGTGCACTGAACTTGGGATTTGTTATTGTTCAGAATACAGAGTTGGAAAGTCAACCAGACCATCACATCAGAGCTGGCATAGGCCCCAATTTCCTGCAGACTACACATTTCTTAAACCCTCAGCGCCCTGTGAGTTTCTTTGTTGAGATCATTGTTATTGCAGGGAAAAGATGCAGCATTGACATGGAGGCTCCCACCCCTCGCTGTGTTTCTGGGGCCCCTTGGTGGTGCTGGGGGAGGGTTTTCATCTCTTCAGTGGGATGGGGTGCCTTCCAAGCAGTTTGAGCAAATAATGTACAGGTGTTTTCAAAACACACTCTGAGTGTTAGGATTGGAAGCCCTATGGCCATGCTTTTGTGTGCAAAGTGTAAATCGGGTGCTCTTGTTTTATATTTCTTTGGGTTTTGTTCTGTTCTGTTTTGTTTTGAAAATCAAAAGGTGATTATTATGAAAGGTTGAAGCCAAGAGTTTGTAGCTGTGATATTTACTGTAAGCTGTAGAACAGTAAACAATTATTTTAAAAAAATAATTAACTGACTAATTAACATACCTGAATTTGTCATTGATGGGAGGGGGGGTCTTTTAATAGGCAGGAGGGTAACAAATACAAGGTTCAAGAGTGTGGCCTCCACACTCATGGGGAGAGGAGTGGGACTTACACTCAGTTTCTCAGCTCTCTCCTGAGAGGTAGGACACATGCTGAGAGTCTCAGTAAGCAAGCAGTAATTAAACATGAAATCCCAAGTGTGAAACCAAGACATGTAAGTGGCCAGCCAGCTCCTGGAATAAAATGATAAGCACTCCATCCCCGCCCCTCCTCCTGCCCTCTGGTTCCCCCCTTTGTCCTGGAACACCTCAACATAATCTCTTTTGTTGTTAGGAGCAAAACCTATTATTCATGCCCCTGACATCGTTCTTTGTCTTCTGGGAAAGACAAGCCTCAAGGAGTGAAACTCTACACAAGTACATCTCAGCATCTCTACACCTCTCAGGCTCCAAGCACAGTGCCCTACAGGATCCCAGCAGAGCAAGACTCATCTGCCATCTGAGCTGCAGCCATCAGCGTCTCACCATCACTCAGCAACCTTCCCACCTGAACCTACAGCCTGGGAGGAGTCCCTTGCTCTTCCTGCTCAGTGACTCCACGAGCTAACACGGAGCTAAGCCCACAGGGCTAAGGCCTGGTGCATGTCTCACCTGCATGAAGGAGTTGAGGAGGCCGCCTCTGTCCATCTGTAAGAGGTTCCCCAAGATGGGGAGGGGACGAGGCCCTGGTGGCAGGTGGCCATGGGTCTTTGGGTGACCCCTGACTAAGAGTAGCAAGAAGCCCAGGAGGAGGGCAAGAAGGAGCAGGACACTGGGCTCCATGGTCCCGGTCTAAGCACCGTTGACTGCACTGCACAGTCCAGCTGGACCTTTTATGCTAAACCCGCCTCTCCAACCAGTTAGGCAACTTCAGCTGTCCCTGCCCCCTGTCTCATCATTATTCAGGAGTGTGGACACTCTGATTTCCTGCTTGGACTGCTGGTCACCTCTCCACTCCCTATTCCCTCACCCCCACCCTAGGTGTTGGCAAAGACACCATGAAAGAGATACACAGGACAAAGGGCACTGGGAACAATGCATCTTGATTCTGGGGCTGGGTATGACCTGTCAGCTCAGTTCTGTCTGCTCATTTACTGGAGCATGGAAGTGTGTGTGTGCACTATGCTCTTTGTATGTGAGAGGTCATTTCTAACACGAATGTGCAGATGTGTTCCATGTTGGAGTCTAAATGCACCGGCTGGCCTATTGCATGTCTGGGGGTGTTTGCATGTATAATCTTAAGTTGTAGAGGGTTCTCTGCGTGTTCTTGTGTCACATGGGAAGGTCATTGCAACTGACTGACAAGAATAGTACTCCATGATCCTGTGTGTGTCTCTATGTGTCTGTTCATTCCATGGGCCCAATCTCTGGAAGGTCTGCAGGTGTGATTTCTCCAGAATCCTCATTTTACTATCTGGCCCTTGACAGACACAGATAGGAAGAAAAAGGAGACAGAAGGACAGGCAAGAGATTCGGGTAGTGGGGCTCAGGAGTCAAGTGGAGACAGGCTGAAACCTAGCAGAGAAGCGGTTGGGACCTCAGGGTCTCTGGACTGACAAGCTTTATTATGTCAACTTGATACAAACTAGAGTAATTTGTGTGGAGGAATTTCAGTTGAGAAAATGCCTCCATAAAATCACACTACAAGCAAGCCTGTAGAGCATTTGCTTAATTAGTGATTGATGGGGGAGGGCCCAGTCCATTGTGGGAAATGCCACCCCTGGGCTGGCAACCTTAGGCTCTATAAGGAAGCAAGCTGAGCAAGCCATGAGGGCCAAGCCAGTAAGTCTTAATCACCCTTCCACGGCCTCTGCAGCTCCTGCCTCCAAGTTTCTGCCTTCTGTTCCTGCCCTGACTTTCCTGGATGATAAACTGTAAAGCGGGAATGGAAACAAAATAAACCCTTTCTACCCCAAGCTGCTTTTGGTCATCGTGTTTATCACAAAAATAGAAACCCTGAGACAGTCTCTCATGGCCATGGCTAATGACAAATGGTTCCCTGTCCTCCAGGTTCATGTGTCACTTCATTGCACATGAAGTTCTCTGACCTTCCCTCTTGCTGTCCCTCTCTAACAGTGTCTCTGTCCCCCTGTAAATTCTGTATGGCAGGATGGTGAGACTTAGACTGTTCTCTGCCATAGCAGAATAGTAGAAACCCAGTAACTGTATAACAGATGTTTTTAATTTGTGTTTCTAGAATCTGTTATTTCCAGGAGCACAGCACTGGCATCTGGGGAAGCCCTGTTCATGCACTACAGCATGACACAGGGGTCAGCAACTGCACTTCCGAAGGCTGAGGGAGAAAGCTGAGAAGGAGATTGAACGTTTTTAACTAGCCCACCACTGCAGGGATGACTTTGGTCCATTCACAGGGTGTTATGTTGTGAATGTGAATCTCTCTCAGAGGTTCATGTTTCAACACTTTGTACCTAACTGATAACAACACTATTTGGGGAGGTGGCAGGACACTTAAGGGGTAAAGCTTGCAAGAAAGAAGTAGGTTGTTGGAAGCAACCTAATGAGTCACAACTCCACTGCATGTGATTCCGTGAGTCTCTCTCTCTCTCTCTCTCTCTCTCTCTCTCTCTCTCCTCTTCCTCCTCGTCTTCCTCCTCCTTCTGTCTTACATACATTGGAACAATCGAAAGCTCAAACATCAGGACCAAGTGCCGTACCTCCCCTGCCATGAAACTAAGAGAAAATAAATCTTTCTTCTGAGTTGCTTTGCAGTGGAATTTGGCCACAGTGACAAGAAAAGCAACTTACTAACTAAGGCAGAAAATTGGTACCAAGATTGGAATTGTTATGGTAAATATCACTGTGTAACTCACAGGCTGGAATCCTTGTCAGTTGGGGACCCAGGCTTGATATTGGAGCTTTTGGCTCATCACATAACACTGGAAGATCAGAAACAAGAGAGAAAGAGGCAAATTAGAATCAGGCCCAGGTTATAGCCCATCATATAATCTATCTAAGTAACCTACTTCCACCAGCCAGGGCTCATTTCTTAAAGATTCCATAATTCCCCAAAATGGAAGCATCTGCTGTGTACCAAATGTTCAAGCGCACATTTTGGGCAACATTCATAATCAGCCTATGACATAAAGGCATAGCCTTTATGACCTTATCAAATACTGAGGATCTCACTTCTTAACATCATTATAATGACATTTAAATTTTAACATGCATTTTAGTGATGACATTCAAACTATAACCTTCTGTCATGTTCACACAAACACGTCTCATGTCCTTTCAAACACAATATACACTCCTTCCATGTCAATCAACCCCAAGTTTTATTTTGTTGACAACCTTTCATACAAAACACCATTGACTTTGTGGACTTTATGAGTCACCATTCTTGTGGGAAAATATAAACTGGTATAAACATGTATAGTTCATCTAGATGGATCATGGAAGGTTGTACTCATATCTATGCCTTTCGATGAGAATTTTCTCTTCTCTCTGTTGCAACTTGTTCCTTATCCTGACATCTGACCAAAAGAATTGATAACAACAGCTGGAAGGTCACAGTGACTCCTCTGAAGAAGAAGAAGAGTGAGGAGAAACTTAGCCATGTAAACAACACTGGTACCTACAGAAATCTTTCAAATCACAGAGACATTATAGGACAAAATCAGCTGGGGACATGGCTTGGTTGGCAGACTCCTTGCCTAGCATGCACTGAGTTCTAGGTTCCATCTTCAGCATTGCATAGAGCAAGTGTGGTAACATTAAACAGGGGTGTTACAAGACAAAACTGGCTGGAGATATGGCTAAGTTGGTAGAGTCTTTGCCCACTATTCACCATTCAACTTCTGGATTTCATCCTCAGCACTGCATACAGCTGGTGTGATGGCACATGCATACAATCCCATCACTCTGAAAATGGAGCAGGAGTTTGAGATCATTTTAAAAACTGTAACTGTCACACCTTCAGTTATAATGGCATTCCCCAACTACTTTCAACTAAAGAAATTTCAGTTATCAAAGACCCCAAACCATCAACATCATTAGGGCTCAGTGGACAAGGATCTTTCCATTTCCCACTAGATCAGCCTATCTTCCCATTTTTAGAAACAAGCCTAGGGCTGGAGAGATGGCTCAGTGGTTAAGAGCACTGTGTGCTCTTCTAGAGGTCTTGGGTTCAATTCCTGGCAACCACATGGCAGCTCACAACCATCTACACTGGAATCTGATGCCCTCTTCTGGCATTTAGGTGTACATGGATTAACTACTCATACACAAAAAATAAATTTAAAAAATAGTCTTTACAAAAAGAGAGACAAGGTCTAATGTAAGCCTGATTGACCTTGAACTCTGTTCTCCCCCTGACTCCATCTCCCAGGTGCTGGCAATACAAGTATGAATTACAATGGTCATATCAAGGAGTGATGAGAATTCAACCCAGGGTTTCACACATGCTGTGCAAGCCAGAACTCTATCAACTCATCTACATTCATGATTTCCTATCTTTTCTTTCATTTGTTTTCTTTTCTTTTGGGTAAAAGGTCTCACTGTATAGCCCAGGCTCTCTCTGAACTTCTGGTCCTTCAGCCTCTACCTCCCATGTGTCAGGATTCCAGGTTTGTGCCAAAACACTCAGTGTTATGCCCAGTTCTGAGACCCCCAAAGACCACCAGGAATCGACTCCACTGCAAACACATGAGGGTTTATTGAATATGTGCTCAAACATGGGTCACAAACTTCCTGTAGAAGCAGGAGAAGAATGCAGCCTTGCAGTCCAGGAGAACATGGTTTTTAAAGGGAAAAAACATAAGCAGGGAGTTACATGCCTTGGTGTTACAGGATTGTGTAAGAGAGTCTTTAGCAAAGTTGACCTTTAAAATAATAAGTCTGTTTTAGGTGCCAAGGCTGCAGTGGTCCAGCCCCAGCCATCTGGTGGATAGCTGATCAACAGCAGTGCCTGGAGTATCCCGTTATGTGCTAATTAGGCAGGACTATATGGGTGGGGGACTGCTGGCTGTCTGGTATGGTTGCCAAGCAACAATTTCTTTCAAGGCCCTCAAGGGTGGGCAGGCAGCTCTGTCTTAACTTGTCAGCTTCTTTGTCTAAACTTGTACCCAGGACCACAGTCATGTTTTCCCAGGAATTAAATTTCAAGTTTTTGGACCTCTCACTAGCTGTTTTTGTTTAGATCTCATTTTATAGCTCAGACTAGCCTTTAGATTGTAGTCAACTTGCCTCAACCTCTAAAGTAACAAGGTTCATAAGGTAATGTCACCAGGCCTGGCTATGGTTTTTTTTTTCATACTATGTTTAAAATCTGGTGTTCATTTTGGCAATGATAAACTATCCTAATTGGGAACCTAAATTTATTTCAAAGGTTTGTCTTTGTTCTTTGTTTTTCTTTTATTTTTCTTTTAAAAATTTTGAATTTATATTTAAAGTTCATGAATTCTCCCACTGAAAAAGACGATTCCCATAACTCTGATGTTTCAAAAATATCTGAAGGTTTCCAATAGTTGGGCTAAGTATCACTTTCAAAGTTGAGTTGATTTAAATTTACATTTGGTTGACAGTATCACATTTTGTTCTAGTTAAGATCTCTGTTGCTGTGAAGAGATACCATTACCACAGCAGCTCTTACAAGAAAAGGATTTACTTGGAGCTGGCTTACAGTTCAGAGGTTTATTCCACTACCAGCAAGCCTGGCATCCAGGTAGACATGGTGCTGGAGAAGAGCTGAGAACTCTACATCTGGATCTGCATTCACCAGAGAGAGAGAGTAAGTCACTGGGCCAGCTTGAGCATCTGAAACTTCACAGTCAGCCCCCAGCAACAT